CAAAATTCGAGTCGCTACTTCCCTGTCTCAAGTAGCTGCAGGGTGTCTTGAAAGGTTGCCTTTTCGTTTTCCATCATTTATGAACTAATAAAAACTCCATTTTGGGAGCTTAAATAAGAGCCACCCAGTTTGTGCGTTTCCCAATTTGAATGAGGGACAGACAGCCATGGAGCTTAGGAGTGGAGCTTTGCTATGGGGAGTGGTTCCCTTTTTGGCGATGGTCAGCTTGGAAGGCTGCACCATTGGACTAACTATCTTGGCTAAGACAGCCATTACTTATGGAACCAACACGTTTGTTTTTGTTGTCTACACAAACGCTGTTGCTTCCTTCCTTCTTCTTCCTTACTCCTTCCTTTTTCACCTCAACGACAGGTTTTAATCCCACTCCGACCAATTCCTCGTCCTTCTTCTTCTAATTTTCTTCATTAACCCTTTTTTTTTTTTTGTTAATATTATGCAGAACGGATTATCAACAATCTTTGTTTTCCCTTCCTCTTCTCCTCCGAATCTTCCTCCTCGGCTTCATTGGGTTTGTCTTCTCGCTCCCTCTCATACATGAATAAACTAAGAACACCTCTAGATGAGAACGATTCTCGATAGAATCCTCGAGAAGGGCTTAAAAAGAATTAAAAGTTACTATTCATGTATAAGCAACGTGCACTTTTCATTTTGGTGGTTCAATTGTATCGTAAGAATTCTAAAGTTGAAGCTTTTGCTTTTTGAGTAATTCTATGTTTGGGTGAACTCTATCAAACTTTTTTAAAAAAGATGTAAATGAAGACAAAAGATGCTAAAAAGATTCGAAATGATCTCTACTGACGTAAATAGCTTGTCAAATCTAGATTTTGAATCTTGATCTGAATTCTAACGACGACCCATTTCAAGAAATCACTCGAGGTAGAATAATATAACTGATTAGGCCTTGTCGTGTTACTGTGAGAATATAAAGTTTTGATTTTTATTTTTTATTATTATTGTGGTGTAGGATATGTGTCTCTCAGAACCTAGCGTTTTTGGGCCTAAGCTACAGCTCTCCAATTGTTGTATGCGTAATGGGTCTTATGCTTCCAGCCATTTCTTTCATTCTCTCGATCCTTCTCAGGTACTCGTTTTATCTTTCTCGATCTCGATCTCAATCTCGATCACGATCAGACAAGCAAGAAGAAACATTTCCAAGAAAGTGGGAGATTAGTAGTTCTTCTAACTAGGTTTAAATTTCAGGAGAACAAAAATTAACTGGAAAAGTCCAAGTTTCATTACAAAAGTAGTTGGCACAGTTATATCAGTTATAGGAGCTACATCCGAGGAGCTTTACCTAGGCCCCGTTGTTCGTCAGCATCCATCATCTTCTTTACATTTACAATTCAAACAAAAGCTCTTGGTCTTCACTTCAACCACAGATCGTTGGATCATGGGTGGCCTTTTATTAGCAGCTGCCACTCTATGTGTCTCAATATGGAACATCATTCAGGTTTATATCAATGTTTTATGACAAACCCATGATGTTTTTTTTGCATTTCTTGACACCCTTTTGTGTGTGTATGATTTTGGTCAGTTGGGTGTGGTGAAACAATACTCACAAGTGATGAAAGTTGCCTCCTTTTATAGTTTGGTGGGCAGTTTAATGTCCGCAGCCATGGCTTTCTTTATTGTCGACGACTTGAATGCATGGATAATCAAATCAAAATTCGACATCTTTCTAATCATTGCAACGGTAAGAAAACGAATTTGGATCATCACCTCGTATTATACATTGTTTCAAAGCGTTGAATACGATGAAATTTGCAGGGTGTTTTTAGCGGTTTGATTAGGAATCGAGTGCAAATATGGTGCATGCAAATGAAAGGGCCATATTACGTGCCCATGTTCAAGCCGTTTGGTATTCTTTTTGCTACTTTCTTTGGCTCCACCTTTTTTGGAGATACTTTCCACTACGGAAGGTAAAATTATTGTTTGTCTTTTGAATTGATCTGTTTTGGGTTTTTTGGATTGGGTTGAAGGAGTCGTTTTTGGTGGTAAAGTTCGAATTTTTTTGTGGTATGATGGCAGTGTGATGGCGGCGTTCATAGCTGGGATGGGATATTTGACTGTAATGTGGGGGCAAATGAATGAAGATCAAGGAAGAGATGATGAAAGCAACGATGATTTGTCTTCTTCTAGAGTTCCACTTCTGGATGAAGAATCAAAAGTGTAAAATGAAATATCTAATATGATCAGAAGAAGTTATTTTGGAATGAATTCTGATCATATGAAGCTTTTTGTTTTCATGGAATCTCAATCTTTGGCGTTGAGAGGAATTGTATATATATTGTTCTAGTGTTGAGTGGGATCCTTTGTGTTTTTGTATAAATGAAATGATGATTGTTTTTTTTGTTATCTCGTCTCGTTCTTTTGATTAGTTGCTTTTGATAGTGTTTGATAAAGATCGAGCGAACTTTGGTCCAAAAGTCGAGATGAATTTTAGGTTTTTAAGTCGTGATAGCTCTTATGAATTAATATTTGGATGAACCTTAAACTTTAACATCGAGACAGTTTGAGTTTTTAATTTTCTGTAGTTCCAACCGGTCAAAATTTGGATTAGATATAATCCAAACATCGACAGACGAACTTTTAGCTTCAAACATGATAGAGCTCTAATAAATCAAAATTTCAAGATGAATTTAATTCACGATAGTTATCAACCTAGATTATCGAATCAAATGTTGTAGGGTCAAATAAAAATTAAAAATAAAGTTAGAATGATATGATGAGTGGGGTTTTCAAAAGTTGAAAGCATGTGTTTGAAATATTCAATTCACCCACCAATCCCATTGTGACAGACTAGTGTAAAATAATAAGTATTATATTTGATTTAATAATCTCACAAACTTAGTAACAAATATTATATTTGATATATATATATATATATATATATATTTTGTGACAAAAATCGATCCAATTTGATTGATACAATTTTAGTAACAAATATCATACATTAAAAATATTTACAAGAAATTTATTGGTAGCATTAATAAATGGGTTAGGTGAAAATTTTCATATTAATTTTATAATACCTACTTCTTTCTTTCACTATTATAATTGAAGCATTCAAAACTTGAGGGGATCGAGTGAGACGGGTAAGCACCCCTCGTCACCGTTGTACCCATCATCATGCAGCCTATTTGGACTAGACAAGGAGGTTGGTCGGTTGCCAAAAGTTTGTCTTGAGCCAAAGAATGTGCGGGCTTGAAAGCTCAAAATCTAGTATCGACTGGTCATAAGGGATAACGCATCAGGTAAAGGAGTTGAGCTCCCGAACCTACTCAAATCCCCGTCCTATCCCGACCTACTCACTTTATATATATATATATATTCCTGCTTTACTTACTAAATAGTCTTGCGTTAGAAAGAACAAGATAATTATTTAATCCATTCTGCCGACAAGGGGAAGAACAAGAGAACATGAAACACAACAAACGCATACATAGGAACCACATTATTCTCCATAGTCTTTATAGAGACAGCCTCCATAACTGAGGTGTCATTGGTGTATCTATGGCTGCTGCAGAACGTAGTCATCCAGTTCCAGGAAATTCTTCACCACAAAGTCCTTAATGACATGAGGATCGGGAACCTCCTCACTCGCCTTCTCAAACTCACAACTCCATTTCACTTTACTTCCACTCCCATCTTCTTTAGGAATCACACCAATGTGCCCCTTGAAACTCTTGTAATACTTCAGAAGATCCCCTTCAATCACGCTGTAAGAAACCGTCATCGCTTCCTCGTCCACGGCCTCGATCCGCTCTTTCGAATCCTTCACGAGCGAAGAACCTGATCCACAAAATTCCACAACAAAATGAATGATCCCATGTATGACAAAGTAACCAGAATCATGTCAAAGAGTTGAGTTTACCCTCAGAGTATGTAATGAGGCGAACAGAACCGACCGCTTTACCATCGCCTTCAAGAACTTCAATGCTTTTGTAGTCATGGGGGAAGGCCTTGGGGAAGATGATGGTTGAGTCCCTCATGGAATTCCAGAACTTGGGTGCGATTGACTTCACGTCGACCTCGACGTTAAGCGTTCCATCAGAAGCCATAGTGCAGTGCAGTGCAGTGCAGATCAGTGAGTTGAAAGTAGAGATGAAGCCTGGATATGTAGTAGTGGTGCAGCTGAGAGCTTTAAATTGGTTAGGAGAAGTTCAACTGCCGCTTTAATGGCCGGTTCGGCGAGCAGCTACTTCCCACAAGCTTCCCCTCCACATTTTGCTGCACATTTAATTACTCATTGACCTACGAGACAGGAAAGAATGGAGGTGTTCATGATCTTATCTTTGTTAACTACAATCTCATGACGACCACCGACACCCATAATTCTCAAGATGCATTTAAGTTGTTGGCCTAAACGCTCACAAACGTAAGAAAATATGTGTGTAACAATATTGGTGATGTGAAACAGACACGACTAAAATGTAAATCATCGCTTGCTCGGTTATACTAATGATTTCAGAAATGTTTGACAGTGATCCATAATCAAACTGTATGGAAGTCCATTAAACCTCCCATATGGACCTTCATGACAATGAACATGTCCCACTTGCAGTTTCAGTGGTCGTTGTCGTATTCTTCATCCTCAGCAAATCCTCACCCTTATGAATCGTGATATTTGATTGAGCCAGCTGCTTCAACCTTATTTTAGCAGGGGTAGTTATAATGGTCCAAGCCCACTGCTACCAAATATTGTCCTCTTGTTCACACCGTTAAAGATGTTTCATTCTCCTCCCCAATAAATGTGGGACCCTCCAATCCACCCCTTTAGAGTCCAGTGTCCTTGTTGGCACACCCCCTTGTGCCCACCCCTTCGGGGCTCAGCCTCCTCGTTGGCACTTCACTTGATGTCTAGATCTGATACCATTTATAACGGCCCAAGCCCACCGCAAACAGATATTGTGCTCTTTGGGCTTTCCCTTTCGGGCTTCCCCTCGAAGCTTTTAAAATGCATCTGCTAGGGAGAGGTTTCGACACCTTATAAAAGGTGTTTCATTCTCCTCCCCAATCGATGTGGGATCTCACAATTGAACCCTAGCATATGTGTTATAAAAACCTTGAGGGGAAGCCCAAAGAGGACAATATTTGCCAGCAGTGGACTTGGTTGTTACAGCAGTTTTCAGCTCGTATACACACTCGATCTCGAAATGGTCCTGGAGATCAATACAGATTACAGTACGAACCTTCCCAATGTCATATGATTCCATCAGATTATCAGATACACATATTCTTCCAATGTATAAACCATAATGATTTGGTGAACTACGGACATATACTATCTCAGGCAACATAGATTTGCTGTTTGAAGCTGAATGCTTAGAGACGAATAAGCCTACGATTCACAAGTTCATAATGTGATGATGATGATATCTACCTACCCCAGCAGAATGTGGAACAATTTGTCTATAACATTCACAAGTTCATTCTTTAAGAGAAAATGGTATCTCAGATTCAGAAGGGCTGTGGTGACGGTGATGGCAGGAAGCTTCTTACACATCAAGTGGTTGCGCCTCTGCAGCATCAACAAGATTAATATTGAATACATGTTGAAACGAGGTGTGTGAATCATTCTACAATGAAGGTAATCTTATATAGTGTCTTAACCATGGAATGTTGGCAGAAATTTGAATCAAGTTTTGAAATCCTAGTTATAAAACTTGGTTATACCCTTGATGCAATCCAGGGGACAAGTCCAGAATCCAGAACGGTAAGGATCAAAGCAAATTAAACATTAACAATTATGGGTGCAGAAACATACCTCCGAAGCTGAACCTCCTTTTTAACTGTCATGTAGCATAGCTTCAGAAGATGGAGTGTGCAAATGAGTGAGCGAGCAGCCCAACAATGGGGTCGAGTTCATCGTCCCTCATAACCCTAACCCAGATGGACCCAGATTCCAATTCCTGAAAATAGCTGAAATCCCCGATGAGGTTTTGAAGGTGAGATTGTTCAGAGGTTTTGAAGAGGAAAAGGGGAAATGGGTCTGAAATGGCGGGGAAGGAGGCGATGGCGGCGTAGATCCAAAGGGAACCCAGACGGCGATGGGCATAGAATGCATACCTCGCTAATTGTGTCGTCATCACTCATAGTTACACTTGGACTTCCATTATTTCAATCAACTCCAAATAATCAACCAATTCTTCATCTCTATAAATATGATAATCTTAGCTACTCATTATTAAAATTATGACTCAAATTATCAACTTATTATTATTATTATTATCATTATTTTTGTAATATTTACACTCAACCTACAATATTGTTAAATCAATATTAAAGAACAGAAAAAAAAAAATAGAAAGAATATACTAACAATAAAGCTATTTTAAACATTTTTTCTTCTTTTGTATTAAGGGTATAAATGTAATTATTGAAAACTTAGGATTATTTTATCATATAGTTTTTTTTTTTATATATAAGGTTATTATTAAAATTTTAAAATAAAATATCCATAATTTCCATAAAAAATTATACATGATTGGCTTCGTTACATAATTTTACATTAATACCCTCTCATCTATTGTCGGATTTTACAGTATCTTCTATAAAAATACCATTCTAATATTACATTAGAAAAAATTTGAATTTTTTTTTAAAGATTAAAGTGGTTAATTTTGATTGTATTTATATATATATATTAAAAAAAAGGGTAAAAAGTAAATTTGATTTTGGAAATAATTCAGTTAAATGTAATCAATTTCCATTTCAGATAATCGCAAGAACAATAGAAATAAATTCCCAAAAAAATTGCAAACCCATCGATACTTTCCTAATCAATTCACAACGAAAAAAAAAACACTTCAAAATCCAAACATTTTGGAAGGAGTTTAAGATGAACATGATGAATGCGTACCCTCTCACAGTCCAGATTGCTGCTCCCAGGTGTTCATGATCTGCAGGAGTATCTCATTCCAAGTGTCCACAGGCCCAGGCAGGCACCAATGAACGCAATCATTCTGAACCCGCTCCCCAACGCCGCCATTGCCGTATGGAAACGGATGCATGTAAGGCCCAGGGTGCCCATCAGGCCTCAGCAATGAAAGTTTCGTCACATCCAACGCTGCAATTCTCAGCCCCCCACTCTGCTTCGCTCTGCCCTTCGCTTCTTCCACCTCCTCCACTTCAATCGCCCTTATTTCCGCATCCATTCCCTCCAATTTCTTCTCGCTTTCCTTATACGGCTTCGTTTTAGGACACGCCCCTGCCTTGTCCCACTCTCCTTCAAAATGCGACGGCGAAAATGTCGCTAAAAAGATACCCAATTCATTGCTGCTTGACGAACCCCTTCTGTCGATTACAGCCTCAAACGTCGTCCTCAATCCCTTTCTCAACGCGTCGTAGAATCCAATCTCGGTGTGGTTCAAACTAGGGCAGTAATGGCAACCCATTATAGAATCATCCCCTTCGTAATACACTGCGGGATGTAAATACCAATGCCCGATTGAGAACACTACTAAGTTAAAATCATCCAAATCCACAGCCCATTTCTCGTTTACGCGATGTAAGAACAGTTCATTGTGGTTAGGGCCGGCGTTTGATTTTTCAATTCCGTCGACGAGAAACGGCGACCAGTAGACCGAAACGGTGAGATTATGAGATGGGAAATTCCATCGCCGGAATTTGTTGTCCTCGCCGGAAGTGTAAACGAGTTCCGGAGTGGAAACAGAGGCTAAAATACAGAGGAGGGACTCTAATTGGTTCCTCGCCATTGAATCGCCGATGAAGGCGATGTGTTTGTTAGTCATGAAGTGAAAAAATTTACTGGGATCGAACCTTGGGAGAGAACATTTGTGGGGCTTCCATCGCCAATAGAGATAGCCCAAATCAGAGCGGCCATGAACGATGCAATTTTGGGCGTCTTTAATTGTGCCGCAGGTTGAGCCATTGTATAAAGGTCCCAGCTTGTCGGGGACCCATTGGCCGTCGGTGTAGTCACAGGGAGTTTCATTAACCGCATTAACTTCTTCTTCTTCTGTGGAAACGAAAGAAAGAAATAAATGAAGAACACAATGAAAGAAACCCATTTCACCAAACAAAAAACCTGAAATAAAAGACCATTAAAGAAGCAATCTTGAGCTGTTGCTGTTACCTTCATGAACAGAGGAAGGTGAAAAATGAGGAGGCGACAAAGAAGAAGAAGCTATGATTTGGGGGGTCCGATGAATGGGAGAATCTGGGAGATGGATTGGATGACAATACAAGCGGAAGAGGGCGATGGGGAGAAGGGCATAAATGGTCCAAGGAACGAGCTTTTTGATGAACTGTGAATGCCTCGGCTCCTTCAAGAGATTGGTAATGGACACCATTGCTGATGACCTTACCTTCTTTTGATCTCTGCAACTTCAACGCAGAGACAGAGACCAAAAGCTCTCGTCTTTTTCCTTTTTCATTTTTGTTTCCTTCTACGCTTTTTTTATTCAGCCGGCGAGTTGAGGTAGTGGGAGCTCTGTAACCCGTGTGTTTTGGTTCCGGCCCAAAACCCACGTATACGTGTCTTCTTCTCATTGGTGGAAGGTGCTTTTCTTTTATTTATTAATTAAAATGATAGAAAGAGAAACGAGATGATTGATGCTTATTTTCTTTTTCTTTTTTTAATTATATTTTTAAATATTTTAAGATTTATTAAAGCTAGAAACAAAATTAGAAAAATATTTATTTATTTTATATTCTAATAATTTCCTTTTTTTGAGCTTAGGTTTGTACTAGCAAAATGATGGGACTTTTTTGTGAGTTAATCATATTCCCCTCCACGTTTTAAGTGCACAATGAAAACCCGAAACAGCCCTCCATTAGTTGGTGACAGCACATTTTATGAGGGACTGGATGGGAATTATGCATTGTGACCCAATAGAAAGCTAAGCCAACTTTTCTTGTTTTCCAACTCATTTTTAATTCGTACATCTAATTTGTTTGAGAAAAATGTAAATATAATAATAAGTCAAAGTGACAAATTTAAAGGTTGATTTTAAAATGGTTAAAGTTGAGAAAATTATTATTATAATATTGGAGTCCCACACCGCCTAACTAATGACTTTTTATTACCATATAAAAGTCAGACACCTTTTGTTTCAAGAGGATTAAAATACAAATAATAATAATAATTATTATTATTATTATTATTATTGGATGATGAAAGCATCGCCTCCGTTACTTTAGAGAATGATTATGGATTTATAATTAAGAATACTATCTTCATGACTATGAGGCATTTTGGGAAGCCCAAAGTAAAGTCATGAAAACTTATACTCAAAATGAACAATATCATACCATTGTGGAGAGTCGTGTTCGTCTAACATGTTATCAGAGTCATGCCAATAGATCGGTAAATCCTCAAATGTCGAACAATCATTTGATAGTTAAATATAATGCATTAAAGTTCAATTATATTTAGGATTCCTATAAAATATTTATTATATTTTTTACGAAGGTTAAAGATATTAATATTACTTTATGGTATATATATATATATTTTTTAAGGAGGAAGATATTAATAAAAATTTTGAAATATTTAAATAAATTAGGTATTTATGGTCAACCAATGATAAAACATTCGGACAAATTAAGAAATTTAATGTTTTATTATTAATTTAACCTTATTGTTATTTATAGGATCCATTAATAACCAATAAGAAACCATAACGTTGAGAATAGGGATTTAATGGTTTAAGATTTGGGTGACGTGGATGGGATGTGTAATTATAATGTCTGTGTACTTTATTATTGGAAAATGTTGGTGTAACAGTCACATGATTTTGGGTTGGTTTTTGTATTTATTAAAATGACAATGTCAGAATTCACATGTGTCTAACAAATGCCTTTTTCTTTAATCAAATTTTATTTGGTCGCATAAATAGAATGCGAGGGACGACCATATAATATACATTTATTTTATTTAGAATTAATTTATATTATATCGTGTTTTAACTTATTTAATTAACATTTTAGATTTATTTTCATTATTATTAAATAAAAACGATGAAATAATATATATATATATTTTTTCTTGGCATTCTATTTATATTTCTCTAAAGATTCGTATCTAATTTTTATTATTCTTTTTAATGAAAAAAATTTTAAAATTGGCTTAATAGTTAAAAATGTTAATAAAATGTAAATTAATATAAACTTTAGATCTGTTATGTATAACCGTCAGACTCACAGTTATTTATTTTATTTAGTTAAAAGAGAGTCGAGAAAATAAAAAAGAAATTTTAGGTATTAATGAAAAAAAAAAATTCTCGGAATATAATTAAAAATGAAAAATGTGGTGAATTTAAAAAATAGTTTATTATTTGTTTATGAAATTAGAAATGGTAATTCGGGCTATTTAGGTCAATAGATTAAAATTATGTGACAATGTTGAAGAAGAAAAGCCCTAATTTATATAAGGATTAGAAAATAATTACAGTCGTTACCAACTCCTTCAATAGGAGGAAGGGCGGTTGCAAGCGAGGAAGAAGGCGAGAATGGCACTGGATGGTTGCTGCAATGGAGATGACTTCACTGTTGGGTCCTTCTTCTCCATCAAGACAACCTTGGGCGATGAATTCCAAGGACAAGTCATTACTTTTGATGCACATTCCAACATCCTCATCCTTCATATCCTTTCTGTGTTTCTACAATTTGTGTAATAGTTGTTGTCAGTTGCTTCTTGAATTCCTTAGTTCTTTTATGTTATCCTTAATTTTGTGGTTTCCACAAGAGGGTTCAAAGTCAGGACCTCGTAGAAACATAAGGCTGCTGAAGGCTAATTATATTAAGGAGTTTTCATTTTTGGGACATGGTGAAGATCCTATTGACCTCAAGAAGTGTTACTTGGATATCAATACTCTCCGGGCTCGAGAGGAACTGGCCATTAGGTTAGTCAATAGCCTATTGTGATTTTAGTTGTTTCTGATTCAATTATGTGTTCTCATTCTCTTTTGCTTCTCGGATTGTATTGAATTTCGCAGGCAAGCTGAGACAGACGCGGAGAGGATAGGAGTGGGTGTGACCAGCGAGGCCCAGAGTATTTTTGACGCCTTATCTAAAACGTAAGCTTAGTTTTATTTCGTTCCTTGGAATATTTGGAAAGTCTGTTTCGATTGTACTTAAAAATTTAAGGAGATTTCTTTTATACTGTTTTTAGTTCATATCCACGCATTTTTGGTAATTAGTGACAATTTGATCAGTTTTCTTTGCTCATGTAACTTTTCCATTAATTTTGATCATTTCTATGTATTGATTCCATATTAAGAGAAGCCAAGAATGCTTTTGTGTTCTTATCATCTCCCTCTTCTTACTCGCAGTTATTCTCTAGAAATTCTTTTAAAAGCTTAGTTACATTGAAAATGATTTAATTGATGAAATCTGTGACTTTTTCGGAAATTGATGAAATCTTTATGATAATAGGAAGTCTGTATAATGGTCTACCTGGTTTTCAACCTTCACTAGTGATAACAGCTTTGATTAGAACCATGATGCTTTGTTGTGCCACGCATTTCCTATCGTGTTGACAATGGATAAGATGCAATTGATTCATCCCTTCAGATTCAATTGGATATGAATATTATTTTCCAGCTTGGGCAGCATGATTACTCTGAAACTTGATGATTCGGGCCTTGCTATGATTAAGACCTTGAACTCCTATGTCATAGCACTAATTCTTGTGCTATCAACCATGATTTGTTGGAAATTTTAGAAGAAATTATTTTATAAGTTTTAACATGTCTCTGGATGATATAACATTAAGATTGATTTTACTTTTGTTCCCTTAAACTAATGATGGTAATTCTTACATCTTTTGTTTTTTATGATTTTGATCTTTGTACGACCTTTTGAAATCCATGGCAGTTGTTTAGAAGCACCACTCGAGTAGTTTTATGTATAATTGTGTACCAACTTCTATGGAACTTATTTTTTTTTGCTGTTCCTAATGCAGAAGTCATAGTTGTTATTGCTTGGTGCTAGTTCCTCGATTTGAAGTTGGAACTTATGTCATTCTTTATTTGGTTTTTTGTACAACCAAAAATGGCCATGTTTGTTCAAGTTTAATTAATAATTTTAGAACTTAATTTTTCTGTACTGCCAGGTTTCTTTAACGTATATGCTTTCATACTTTTGAGCCTGAGAAGGAATCAAGAACTTTTTCGTCAAGAGAGTATTATGCATTCTTATGGTAGAATTATTTTATTTACCCCATATGATATGTAAATGATATCAAGCCAGGCTTGGTTCTATTAGGAACCACGGATCTCTACAATAGTATGACATTGTCTATTTTGAGTATAATCTCTCGTGTCTTTGCTTTTGGTTTTTCCAAAAGACCTCGTACCAATGGAGATGTATTCCTTACTTATAAGCCCACAATCGTCCCCTTAATTAGCTAATGTGGGACTCCTCCCAACAATCCTCCCCTCGAACAAAGTACACCATAGAGTCTCCCTTGAGGCATATGGAGCCCTCAAACAACCTACCCTTAATTGAGTCTCGACTCCTTCTCTGGAGCCTTCGAACAAAATACACTTTTTGCTCAACACTTAGTCACTTTTGACTATACCTTCGAGGCTCACAACTCTTTTGTTTGACACTTGAGGATTCTATTGACATGGCTAAGTTAAGGGCATGACTCTGATACCGTGTTAGGAACCATGGACCTCCACAATGGTATGATATTGTCTACTTTGAGCATAAGCTCTCGTAACTATGCTTTTGGGTTTCCCAAAAGATCTCATACCAATGGAGGTGTATTCCTTACTTATAAACTCATGATCATCCCCTTAATTAGCCAATGTGGGACTCCTCCCAACAATCCTCAACAGGTTCGAATGATCAATTTTACTATTTGTTGCTAAATGCATCCATTCTTTTGTCTTCTGTTATGGAATCTGAAAATTAGAGAACAGTATGGGCAGCTGTTGGGATTATAAACCCAAGTATGCTCTTCTGATCTGATTTTATGAGGCATGCACATACAGAATTACAAATGCAACAGAAATTAGATACAAAAGCATCATGATAAGCTTTAATCTTTTCGAACTTTTTATTGCATGGATCATTTTCTCTTGCTGTTTCAGCTGTATAATTTTTCTAGTTCGTAGACTCTGCTTTATTGTTTTGATATTCTGGCTGAGGCAATTAGTGCAATCCCAGGCTTCCTGTGCGTTGGGACAAGTCTGTCATTGTTGTGATGAATGAAGTACGTGTAAGCAATCCCTATCTACCAGAATCTGTTACTGGAGGCACTCCTGCTGCCAATGACCGGGTGAAGAAAGTGGTACGAATCTTTGATAGCACTAGCTTTTCACTTCTTTCTTGCAATGCCTTGTGCAAACCTCTTTACGTATGGATTTTTCTCTTAAAGCTTGAACTGGAGAGGAAGCGGTTGCAAGTTCGTGGCGGTGGTCAGTGATGGTTATTCATCCCTCTTCTTCTTGGTGACAGGCAATTGCCTTAACTTAGTCTTTTTCTAATGGGGAACGTAAAATCTCTAAAGGCATCTCAGTGTCAGCAATCATGAAGGGATTTCGTGTTCAAGTGGTACCCAATCTGTTGCCGAAGTTGTATGGTTACTGGACTCCTAGTTGTTGATTTTCTCCTGTTTATGAACTGCACTGGACGCGCCCTGGCAAAGTTTTTTGTGGGTCCATATTTTTATGTTTTCCAAGATTTGCTCTGTTGCAATGTATTCAATTTGCAATGAGCAAACTAGATGTTATGACTGTCCACCTCTTATTGAATCATAATGTGGAAAAACTAACCCTGATGTATTTGGAAAATTGAAAGAATAGGTTTCTCATGCTTCACCTCTCGACCTTTTCTCTGTTAAGTATCAAGCATCATAACAGGGACAGCTTTGATGCTCCAGGCATCTAATGGCCGAACATCGATGTCGTTTGGGGCCTAAGATCAGCCCCACATTCATAATTTTCTTGCCTTTCGATTTTGCTAGTTAGAATTAAGAATTCTTTTTGAAAACATTTTCTGTTGAAGTACTCCGCAGATGCAAATGGAAAGCTTGAACAGGGCATGTTATGGCTCCAAAAGAAAGTTGAATTTTCTTTTCCATACCCTTTCTTTTCCCCCCTTTGCTTTTCCAAATGGCCCCATTATCCATTGTTTCTTTATTCCTTTCTTGAAATTGGTAGACTAATTCTTAATCCTTACGCTGTGACATTTAGAAAGAAATGTATATGGCCCGCTTAGTTCAGGGAATAAAATGCTATCCTTTTATCTGCACTATCACTATCACTATCTCCCCTCAAGGACTGTCAATGTCGATGACATTCAAAGAGATCACTTGTTTTTAAGTACAGAATCATCGAGTTTTCTTTACCATTTATTTTCCAGTATTCTCTAATGGAATCGTGTTCTGTAAGTTGAACGAGCTGCAAAAGTTGACATCGCTGACTAAAATAAGGAATTTGATACTCATCCTTTTCAGTCATTAGCAGAGTTTTATATCAAAACAGTCTCGGTACTTCTGATTATTCTTTACAGAATGGAACAAACTGCTCTCAAAACAATGATAAACCAACATAAATTGGGATGTTTCTCAATTCTCTTCTGCAATTTTAGAGTTACAAAACCAATCAACTTCACCTGAACTAAGCCAATCTGCAAGCTTTCAGAGGACCTGTTCTTGGTGGGTGTCAATGCAAACCAGAATCCTTGCTGACCTGCTGAAACAAAGTCTCCTGCAATTTCACAACACATGGGAAGAAGGAAAAAGAAATCTCAAGCTTATTTTCTGCGAGCCTTGAGCGCCTTGAGCATCAGACATTGGTCCTTTAATGGAGTTGCTTTGTTTAGGATGATAAACAAGCAAAGTTGCCTTACTGTTCTAAACTGTTCTATAGTTACCCATGTCAGTAAGTTAGCCAATGAAATGGGAGCGGCGAGACTTCAGCTTGGAGAAGCATGGAATAAGTTGTTTTTGTTCTGCAAGTAGTGGGAATTGCTTAAACGAATTGCAGAGATTCGCAGAGGAGATGGTGGAGAAAGGCTTTAATACAAACTTTATCTTTACGTGATTGAAGAAAAGTAAGAAGACTGACAATAAAATAACGAACAAGGAGATGCTGCTGTGGCTTTAGGTTACGGAGAGGTGTGCTGCATTCTTTCTTCCTCCAAGAGAGGTATCACTCTTTTTGCTTCTTTTCATATCTCTAATTCACCTTTATGTTTCCATGTCTTCAAACCCAAGTGGGTCTTGAGCTGTAAACCTCATTTTCCCCATTTTCACACTCCCAACTTCTTTCACTTCAATGCTTTCCTTCTGAAACTTCGGCCTCTGTTTCATTTTGTTGTTCCATTTCTTGGTTTACGTGTAGGATAAAGGCATAACTTTTGTTCCGGACTTTGACTTCTTTGTTTTTTCCTTCTATTTGTGCGGATTATTTGGAAGAGGGGAAGGAGAAGGAAAACAAAACAATGGCAGGAGGTGGAACATCTGCACCACCGCCTAAACAGGAGGAGCTGCAGCCACATCCAGTAAGAGATCAGCTACCCAATGTTGCTTATTGCATTACCAGTCCTCCTCCCTGGCGTATGTTGTAACGAAGTTTCAACTCTAATGTTTTAACATTCCTCTTCTTGATTGCATATAAACTTAGTTGTTTGAAATTTGAAATGCAGCTGAAGCAATTCTTCTGGGTTTCCAACATTACTTGGTTATGCTGGGAACAACAGTGCTAATTCCCACCTCTCTAGTTCCCCAAATGGGAGGAGGAAATGTAAGCTTACAATTGTAATGGTTATTTGAAGTTCTTCTTGTTTCTATTACTCTGTTCATTTTGGTACAAATTTTCATTTCAGGAGGAGAAAGCAAAGATGATACAAACATTACTGTTTGTAGCTGGTTTGAACACACTTCTCCAAACCTTTTTTGGTACTCGTTTACCTGCAGTAATTGGAGGCTCGTATTCCTATGTGCCAACGACAATTTCAATTATTTTGGCGGGTCGTTATAGCGACATTGTGAATCCCCAGGAGGTATCTTCATTGATTCATACCATATGCTAAAATTTCACTCTCATGTCCTCAGTTAAGACTCTGACTTATCCGATCCATAACGTGTATCAGAAATTCGAGAGAATTATGCGTGGAATTCAGGGTGCACTTATTGTTGCCTCAACACTTCAGATCGTCGTCGGTTTTAGCGGCCTTTGGCGAAATGTTGCTAGGTTTGCCTTTTTAGCTTGTTGTACTTCTATCAAGCTTTTCTGGTGCAAATCTTCTGTGGTTTTTGACAGAGTGCTCTAAATCCAATGAAGCTTGGTTTTGAAAATCGTTTACGATAGTAATCTTCTTCGACTCGTCTGATTTGTAATCGTACTTCTGTATATTTGTTCAGGTTCTTGAGTCCACTCTCTACTGTTCCTTTAGTAGCTTTGTCAGGATTTGGGCTATATGAGTTGGGTTTCCCAGTGGTATGTATTTTATAACGCTGAAGGAACTCTGAATTCCCTCCTTTTAGTCTCATTCTTACACACCATCTTCTTCTTTGTTTTGTAGCTATCAAAATGTGTGGAGATTGGGCTTCCACAGCTCATCCTGCTAGTAGTGTTCTCACAGGTATCGTCAAATCTTTCAAGCCTCAATTATGTTTGGATCTTATTAAACGCAGTCTAATTGTTTTGCAGTATATACCAAATATGATAAAAGGCGAACGGCACGTATTCGACCGTTTTGCTGTTATATTCTCAGTTGTGATTGTTTGGATATATGCTCATCTACTCACGGTGGGAGGTGCATATAAGAACGTCGGTCTAAAGACTCAACTAAGCTGTCGTACTGATCGTGCAGGCATTATAGGTGGTTCTTCATGGTAAGACTAAAATCAACTCTCCTATAGCTGTCGATATGCATGAAAACATCGCTCGACTGATTCGTGAGCTGTTTATAGGATTAGTATTCCATATCCCTTTCAATGGGGTGCACCCACATTTGACGCTGGTGAAGCTTTTGCAATGATGGCTGCTTCATTTGTTGCACTCGTAGAGGTTTTGTTCATGTCTTGTGAGCTTATGAACATATGTTTGTTGGCAACTTTAACATCATTGCTTACTTTGGCATAATGTTTTTTTTGGGTTCGACAGTCCACAGGTGCTTTCTTTGCTGTGTCTAGATATGCAAGTGCAACTCCACTCCCGCCGTCTGTTCTTAGCCGTGGTGTCGGTTGGCAGGTAAATAAGTCACTACATATAAGATAAAATGTGCAAAACAATTATGTTATGCAAGTATTTGATAAGTTTGCTTATTGTTATTGTCTCTTCTAATGATCCTAGGGAGTGGCCATCTTGTTTTCTGGTATATTTGGCACAGGAAATGGGTCCTCAGTATCTATGTAAGAACTCTGCAACAACTAAAACTAAGCCATTTGATTCATTAATCCCTCTGTTTTTCTTCTCCCTAGGAACTGAAAACCTCTCTCTAGTAAAGCATTTTAAAACCTTGAGGGGAAGCCCAAAAGGAAAAACCTGAAGAGGACAATATCGACTAGCGGTGGGCTTGGGCTATTACAAATGGTATCATAGCCAGTCACTGGGTGGGGTGGTGTGCCAGCGATGACGCTGGGTCCCTAAAGAAGTAGATTATGAGATCCCACATCGGTTGGAAAGGGGAACGAAACATTCCTTATAAGGGTGTGGAAACGTTTCTCTAATAGACGCGTTTTAAAACCTTGAGGGAAAGTCCAAAGAGGACAATATCTGCTAGCAGTGGGCATGAGCTGTTATAAATTGTATCAAAGCCAGACACCAGGCAGTGTGCCACCGATGACGCTGGCCCACAAGGGAGTGGATTGTGAGATCCCACATGGGTTGGAGAAGGGAACGAAACATTCTTTATAAGGGAGTGCAAATCTCTCCCTAACATACGCATTTTAAAACCTTGAGGGAAAGCCCATAAGAAAATGTTCAAATAGGACAATATCTGCTAGCGCTGGGCTTGGCGTTGGGTTTAGGCTGTTACATGCTATCTCTTAATTTGGCCTTACAGTGAAAATGCAGGGCTGTTAGCATTAACACGCGTCGGTAGCCGAAGAGTGGTGCAAATATCTGCTGGCTTTATGATCTTCTTTTCCATACTTGGTAAGAGAAGGCCTGGTTCCATTCATCAGTATCATCAATTCAGTTCTATTAAGATGCATTAACAGGATGCCTATGCATATCCAGGAAAATTCGGAGCCATCTTTGCTTCAATCCCTGCACCGATAATTGCAGCTCTATATTGCTTTTTCTTTGCCTATGTTGGTATGTCTTTTGAAGCTCAAAACTCTCTGCTGTATTCACATCACAATGGTTAACTTGATCTGGTTTAAATCAATGGTTCAAGAACAGGTTCAGCAGGCCTCAGCTTCCTTCAGTTTTGCAATCTCAACAGTTTCAAGATCAAATTCATCTTGGGCTTCTCTACCTTCATGGGACTATCTATTCCTCAGTACTTCAACGAGTACACCGCTGTCAACGGTTACGGTCCGGTACACACAAGAGCGAGATGGGTAGGAACCAGTCTTACCATTTTCACATCAGCATCAATGAAAACCATTTGATTATCAGTCATTTTTGTTCTATACTTCACACTCAGTTTTGAACTCGTGTTTCAGTTCAATGACATGATCAACGTGCCTTTCGCATCCGAGCCGTTTGTTGCTGGATTTCTGGCACTGTTTCTTGATGTCACACTACATAGCAAGGACACTGCAACAAAAAAGGACAGAGGAATGAATTGGTGGGACAAATTCCGCTCGTTTAAAACCGATACACGAAGCGAAGAATTCTATTCTCTTCCGTTCAATCTCAACAAATTTTTCCCATCTGTTTGAAGTTCATTGCTGATGAAATGGTTTGCTGTCATCACATCAAGCTGAAGGCCATATGCCTATAATCACTGTGAGATTCACAACATCAGACCTTTTTCACTCTAATTACAGCATGAATGTCATATAGTGTATGCCTTGTAGTAACTGCAGTTTGATTCTATATTTTTTTTGGGAGAAAAAGCATATGAAAGTCCTTTTGTGAGCCTTGCCAATATCTTTTAGCTCAAGCCAACGTTAGTTTCTCTCAGAAACATTTAACTTTTTTTGTTGTCCTCTTACGTTAATTTTGAAAAGATTTTAATTATGTCATGTAACGGTCCAAGCCCACTGCTAGCAGATATTGTCCTCTTTGGGCTTTCCCTTTCGGACTTCCCCTCAAGGTTTTTAAAACGTGTCTGCTAGGGGGAGATTTTCCATACCCTTATAAACATTGCTTCGTTCTCCTCCCCAACCGATGTGGGATCTCACAGTCCACCCACCTTCGGGGCCTAGCGTCCTCATTGATACTCGTTCCTCTCTCCGATCGATGTGGGATCTCACAATCCACCCCCTTTCGGGGCCCAGCGTCCTTTGGCTCTGATATCATTTGTAACAGCCCAAGTTCACCGCTAACAGATATTGTCCTTTTTAGGCTTTCTCTTTCAGGCTTCCTCCCAAGGTTTTCAAAACGCGTCTTCTATGGGGAGGTTTACACACCCCTATAAAGAATGTTTCATTCTCCTCCTCAACCGATGTGAGATCTCACAATCCACCCACCTTCGAGGCCCAATGTCCTCACTTGCACTCGTTCCTCTCTCCAATCAACGTGGGATATCACATGTCATATCTTGCGAGAAAAGAGTGAGAGATTAGAAAAACAATAAGCGTGCTCCTCTTTTCCCGTTTCCTTCTTCATAACTGCTACAGGATCTAGTTATTAAGTCATTAGGAGCGTTTAGCTCACACCACCATACTATAATAGTTAACTTCTGCAAAGTATTATGGGCTATAGGTACCAAAATATGACCAAAGCTCACAAATGGACTCATACAGTACAGTTCATGGTGCCTTGAGATATATTTTGTAATCTGAGATGAGTGATGCACATTATTTGCACTTGAAAATGAATCACTTTGGTTAAACTATGCCTAAATTCAAAGAGGAATGCATTGAACCAAATCATTTTGTTAATGATGTGCATTGATATGAGACTGACAAATATGGGAAGCATAACAGATGCATCTTTCTTTGACATAAACAATCAACCAAGCCTGCCATCAGCAAAAGCACTTGTGTTACATTACAATGCCTATCTCTTGGACTTCAACCCATTAATTATTATAGTGCCAACCGCAGCTATTTTTTGAACGTTTTGAAGTTAGAAGACAAACACAAAAACCTCCTCCAAAAGATGGAGTTGCTAGGCTGATTTTCCCCAATATGCAAATGGACAGAAACTCATTGCCCAATATGGGACATCACTTGAAACATTAAATGGACTGATTCAGAGAGCCCTTTCTTCTATTTGTTAGATCTGCCTGTCCAATCAAATTTGTTGTAACAGTCCAAGCCCATTGCTAGCAGATATTGTTTTCTTTGGACTTTCCCTTCCACGTTTCTCCAAGGTTAAAACGGGTTTGCTAGGAACAGGTTTCGACACCCTTATAAAGAATGTTTCGTTCTCCTCCTCAACCGATGTGGGATCTCACAATCCACCCCCTTCGGGGTTTAGCGTCCTCGCTGGCACTCATTCCCTTTTCCAATCAATGTGAGACCCCTCAATCCACCCCCTTTCGGGGGCCAGCGTCCTTGCTGACACATTGCCCAGTGTCTGGCTCTGATACCATTTGTAACAGTCCAAGCTCAGATATTGTCCTCTTTGGGTTTTCCCTTCCGGGCTTCCCTCAATGTTTTAAAACACGTCTGCCAGGGAGAGGTTTCCACACCCTTATAAAAAATTCTTCGCACTCCTCTCCAACCAATGTGGGATCTCACAATCCACCCCCTTCAAGGCCCAGCGTCCTCGTTGGCACTCGTTCCCCCAATCCACCCTCTTCGGAGCCCAACATCCTTGCTGACACATTGCCTCATGTCCACCCCCCTTCAGGACTCAACCTCCTTGCTAGCACATCGCCTGGTGTCTCGCTCTGATACCATTTGTAACAGCCCAAGCCCACCACTAGTAGATATTGTCTTCTTTGAGCTTTCCCTTTCAGGCTTCCCCCCTCAAGGTTTTAAAACGCGTCTGCTAGGGAGAGGTTTCCACACCCTTATAAAGAATGCTTTGTTCTCCTCCCCAACCGACGTGGAATCTCACGTTTGTGAATAATTCAAATTGAGCATACTTGAAAGAAAGGCCAGTTTCAAAGATGAGTGAGGCATAGAAATAGATTGGACCTCTGTATTTTAGAAAGAGATTTGAATGAGAACTTGCTTTCTTTGTGTCAGGAAGTCAGTTGGTAACTTTCATAAGTGGTAGGGCAGTAGGTAACTTAGTAGGAAACAGAGGCACAAAAGGTGGGGCCATTTTCAAGCCTTGGATGTATTGAAGCCTCTCAAATCTCAAGCCCTTGTGGGTATGGCAGGGCATTGTCTTGGAAGGTTGAGCCCGATAATGAAGCCTTGTTTTCTACTGTAAAGGGATATTAAAAAAAGAGCTAAAAAACAAAGAGATTACCACTAAATTAACCCTCTAATCTCAAACAAAATAAAAAGTGTCTGTCACAGACACGTGATTAGCTTAACATGTTCCTTCCAAATGTCCCCAAAACCAGAGGCAAAAGCTTATGTGATGTGATCAAATCCATGGCTTAGTTGGGTGACAAGGTGACCATTTCTAATTGTATTGTCACTCTCTGATTGCTCAAAAGATCGTGGAGGTGATTTTCTTTGCCCACCCTTAATAATTCAACCATCATTTCCTCTCTTTCTCTCTCATTTCCCTCTGCTATAAACCAATGTAAATGAAGGATTTTTATGATATGCATAAACTTTGGTGACTAAACATCAACTTAACCTTGTCTTCTAAAGACAATATGAGTGAAAAGCAAATGACCAATGATGCCAGAGAAAAGGGTGTAGAAAAAATTTTACTTTTAAAACGTGTATGCTAGGGAGATGTTTCCACACCTTTATAAATAATGTTTTGTTCCCCTCTCCAACTGACGTGGGATCTCACAATCCATCCCTTTTGAGGCCCAGCACACTAGAGCTCGTTCCTCTCTCCAATCGACGTGGGATCCCACAACATACATAAAAAGTGCTTCGCTTTCACTTTCATTTTCAATCACCATGATATTGAAAGGCCTTGAGCATTATGGAACATCTTTTATGTTCTCTTTTCCTGTTTAAGGGCTTTCAATGGATAAGAATGTGTGAGGCTGTGGATTGGATGATCATCAGCTCACTACAACTAGCCCTCCATAGCCTTTTCTGATATGGTCAAAGTGTTTATGTTACGTGAGAATAATATCATTGCTATATGATAGATATTCATTGAATTGGACAATCTCAAATGGTCGAATCTCAAGGATGCTCCAATAGTCCCCAAGTTCTTCCTTTTAATGATAAAACAAGAAAGAGAACACTAATACGACAGCCTAGATTCTAACCTTAGTACTAAATTTTCACGGTCGTGTTTATTTAGTCATGTACCTTAAAAAATAGTTAAAATTAGTTCATATTTTGCACCAAAAGTTAGAGAGTCCACACACCTTGCACCTTATTTTAATTTGGTGGCTAAGAACATGATGACAAAGGGCACTTCCTCGAGCATATAACTCAAAGTTTTGACGCAATCATTTGTTAAGGAAAAACATGGATATATGTTTGAAAAGAGTAGTTGTTTATGTTTTTTTTAATGAAAAGAAGAAGAACTTGATTAAAGAGGTATACTCAAAGTTTGTAATGGCTCCATTATAGAGTGGGGCAAATCCCCTCTTTCCATTAGTTTAATAAGAGAAGGATTCTCCTTTTAAGGTTAAGGTCTTTTTCTGAAGCAGCTGGAAGCCAAAAGAAGATGCTGCATTACCTAAAAGCTCCCATTATACAAATATATACACATTTCTATTCTTATATTCCTCCATTATTTAAGCTTATAAGAGAATAAACATACTCATCACCATTCTCAACTAAATTCTCTCCTTTCTCTCAACAACATTCATTAATGAATTACTTGTACAAATATTTTAATCAATTGACTCTGTCTTTTTTGTAGTGTTGTGCGTTTAGGTGAATTTAAAGGAGGTAGAGAAAGCAATTGTAACAGATATTGTCCGCTTTAACTTGTTACGTATCGTCGTTAGTCTCACGATTTTAAAACTTGTCTATTATGGAGAGGGCTTAGTCTTACTCCAACTAGTGTCTCGCACCGTCTGGTGACTAACTCTAATATCATTGTGAGATCCCACGTTGGTTGGAGGGTAGAATGAAACATTTCTAATAAGGGTGTGGAAGCCTCTTCCTGACATATGCGTTTTAAAATCGTGAAGATGACGACGATATATAATAGGACAAAACGAACAATATCTGCTGGCGGTGGACGAATGGTATTAGAATATTGAAGTGACCTTCCTAGAAAAGCAAAGGGAGAAGAACCCCACAAAGGGGATGGCCCTTAAAAACACGGATTGTTGTGTTTGGTGGGTATGGCTTTAATTGGCGATTAGAATGTCCAGAAAAGCTTAGAAAAAGACACAAATATGACCAAATTCTGGTGAGAAGCTGAGCTTACAACTTGCTATTATTATTATCGCTGGGTTTGGATTCAAATATATTCATATATAAATTAAGAGCCTCTTAGCTGATGTCTTAAGATTAAAATGTAGTACGTGGGAGCAATAATTGTACATTAAATATGAGTCAACATTGGGACAAGAAATGGTCTATTCTTTTATTTAATATGAAGATGAAGGTTTTCCAACATGTCACATGCCATACTCGCATTAATCACACACATGTTTTCTTCATCTTTTTCAAACTATGGGAATTTACGAGACTCAAAGATCTTATTATTCTCGCTTTAAGCAGTCTATTGAGTCGTATGGCTCGACGTTCGAGTAAAAAAAAAAAGGTTTCGATTTGACTCATAGTTTTAATAAGTTCGAGTTTACGAACTTTCTAGGCTTGTAATAAGTTAGAAGAAGAAAATTTTGTTGTGAATCTTAAGAACCGCACGCGTTGTCGTCTTCAATACTTTCAATCTTCCTTTAATTAATTGATTTTGTTTTTGTTTGAGTTTTGTTTCTTAATTGTTTAATCAGCCAGAAAACATTGACCTCCGTCAACACCGCTGAGCACGTCCGGCCAAAGGTAACGATTTCTGGCATCTCTCCACGTGGAGTTTGCCATAGAGCTGGTTGCAGTGGGGTTGCCGACTTGTCGTTTTAATTGAAAAATAATAAAAGCCAAAATCACAAAGTTTTAAGTTTTTATCATCGAACGTATAAAAAGGTAATTTTTTTTTTAATGCTCTAATCTCCGTGGGTTACATTGTCAATTTTCGATATAAATTTGACCCACGTTGCATTGAGTTAGTTGGAAAGTGTGAGATATATGAATGGACGGCATGCACTTCTAAGTAGACCCATTTGGCGAGCACAGAAGCTGTATAGAAAGAGACTTATTTCCTTCATCTTCATCTTCTTCTTCTTCTTCTTCTTTCGATCTATCTATCAGTTGCAGAATTCATTCAGATGGGGAATTGCCAGGCGGTTGATGCGGCGGCTCTGGTTATACAGCATCCAACTGGCCGGATTGAGAGGCTGTATTGGCCGGTGGTGGCGAGTGAAGTCATGAGGACTAATCCGGGTCACTATGTTTCTCTTATAATTCCCTTGCCTCAATCTGAGGAAGATAATCGGGAGCCTAAAACGGTGCGGTTTACCCGTGTCAAGCTTCTCCGGCCAAATGACACTCTTGCTCTTGGCCATGCCTATCGGCTTGTCACTACTCAGGGTATGGTGCCTCTTTGATCTTTTTGAAGTTCTTTCATTTCCTTCTGTTTTAGTTCAGCCCTTTTGACGTTTTGTTGGAATTTGCAGAGGTTATAAAGGTGTTGCGAGCTAAAAAGTATGCAAAATCCAAGAAGCAATTGCCGGAGTCGGAGAGGAAGCCGGAGAAGCCGGCTGCCGGAGATGAGACTGAAAATAGCCAGCAGGTAACCAGATTTGTTTCCTTTTGAATCACAGCAGATGACTGCAAAAGAAAATGAAAAAAGTCAAATATGATGGTGATTGGGATCCTTGGCAACTTGAAGTGATTTTTTGAAGATAAAATCATACCAATAATCTCTGTGAAATAAACATTGCAGGTAGTCAAACATGAAAGACATCGCATCAGAACACCAGCAGCAAACGCCACTGCAGCGAGGCCAAAGGCTTGGAGACCATCATTGCAGAGCATTTCTGAAGCTGCCAGCTGATTTTATGTTCAACCCTTTGTTCTTGATCATGACAAGCAAGTGTGGTTGATACGACAGAATAGTGGAGCTTGATTTAAGATGCTCATTGTGGAAGTTAGAAGATTCATATAGAGCATGAAAATGAGCATCCAAATTTCCAATTCAGTGTAAAACCACAGCCCCAGAATGATTCATGTATTGAGAGAAATAAGTCATGTGTATAGCAACAAAGATATCAATGGAATTGACACTGTATTGGAGAATCTTTGTGATGAAGCATACAGCTTTTCCTTCATCATCTGCCTGCAACAACAAAAAGAACAGAAAATCTCAATACAAAATACAAGGATCTTCACAAATGTAACTAGAAAAAACAGATCATTTAAGCCCTCTTTTCGAATTCCAATCATGAACTAGATGATTTTGAGCTGAAAGGATCGAAGTTCTTGAGGCAAATGGCGCTCCTGGTAGTTTCCCCTCATTGAGAGCAATAACCATTTTGGGTGAAAGGCTCCACCAATAATGTCCCAGAACCTCCGTACTCCACATGCAATATTCACCAAATATCTGATATTACAACTTGGAAGTACATACTTTCATGTTAAGACTATCACATAAATTCGGACAACTGAATTCAAATTGGAATCTTCATTTCAGTTTTGATTTGAAAAATCAAAATACAAGAAGCATATCAATAATGGCAGCACTGGTCAAACATTCAGAAAATTTCTGCGCAATTAATGGAAGCTGTCTTGGAAACAGTACTAGTTCTGTAGCTATATTGGCAGGTCCGATGTTTTCTCAGGGCTTAATTATTGAACCTATGGGAAATAATTCTCAAGCCATGATAACTCAAAAGCACAAAAAAACTCAAATAACTCTGCAATCAAACAGTCGCCTCATTCACAAATTTTCTCAAACAGGTAGCTGCTCAGACATATTCTTCAACCCAAAACAAGGGCATCCAAAATTCAAATCACCCAACGAACGAATCACAACATTTTCAACCTAAAAGTTTCGAAAATCAATAAAAAACAATAAACTTCGAGCAAACCTCCACAATCGTCTCACGATCCTTCGCTAGCTTCTCCGACACCTACTCCTTAAATCTCTGGGTTTCCTCCCAAAAACAACCAAACATATAAATCAACGCAAAACCGGAATCAATTTGAGCAGATAAAGCGCTATATTGGAAAGAAAAACTTACGACTACTACAAATTCCGCTATCGGATCTAGGCATACATACTCGGCCACGATCGGATTGCTTCTGTAACCGACGGACAAAGTTAAGTTACAATTGACGAAGGTTACACGAGAAGGGAAAGGACAAAATGTTGGATGAAGAAGACCGTTAAAACATGAGATCTTGGCGGGAGAAACCAAGACAAGAGCACAACCGTAGAGCACCCGCCCCATAACCTAAGCCCTAATTTTGAAAAGCCCAATATAATGTCCGTTGGGCCTAAGCCCAACCAATTTGGGCCTCCAATATATGATCTGGAAAGTGACCCAGGCCCAAAAAAGCCCACTAAATTACCCACATCCATATTTATAGGCAGATGGTTCAAATTCAGCCCATCCACTTTGACAAAATGAATGAAGAAATTAATTTAATTAGGCAGAAGCTATTTTATTTTTGAAAATTTTCAAAATTAAAAAAATAAAAAATAAAAATTAGAAGAGGAAAATAATTAAACCAGAGAAGTAGATGATGACGATGATGAAAGCAAGGAAGATAAATAAATAGTGATGATTATAAAGAAGACCCTTTTTGTGTCCACTTGAGGGCAAGTCTGACATTACACCATTTTAAATATCCCAAAAATAAATAAAAAAATAAAAAAGAATAAAAAGAATAACTAAATGATACCCACAGACGCTCCCTCGAAAAAAATTAAACCCCACTATGCTTTCTTTATTTTCTTCCCTTTTTCTCCCCCTTTTGGTGTCACCTTCATTGGTATCCCAATTATCATCATCAATCTTCTTTCTACCTTATCACAACCTTGAATTATTATTATTATTGTTATAACAAATATATGAATACTCGTTATTATCGCAAAAGGTTCGAGCTCTACCGACTCGTACCAATAAAGATGTATTATTTACTTATAAACTCACGATGGAATGTCCCATGTTGTACGGCTAAAAGGGAAAGAAATGAGGAATTTTTCAGAATGATTTGAGCTTTTTAAGCCATTGATGTCGAAAAGGGGCCTTATGAGCTTTTCTGCTGCAAAAACCACATTCCTTGTGGTGTTTTTAAAGCCACCTGCAACAAACAAAGAAGAAGAAGAAAAGCAAAGCCATTTTGCAGCGTGGACTGAACATTACCCATTTGCCCACCCCACACAAAAAGAAGAGAATATATATATATATACCTTTCAATGGATCAGTGGGCAAAAGAAATTTTGGCCTTTTTACTTGAATTCTCTTTACCAACTTAGGATTCCTCTCTTTAAAGTCCATTCTTTTATTCAGAGAAAACAACACATGCCTATGCAAACCCAGTTGGCCTGCCCCTAAAGCCACTGTGTTACCATTTTACAAAAAGGAGCAAAATGGAAAAGAAAAAAGAAAGGGATCTTTGGACCCTCCATTTATTTTTTGTATTTCGTGTGGTTACGTAATCCCACAATTTTGAGGCTATAGGAATATGTAACGGGTTAAGGTGGATAATATTTACTAACAGTGAGCTTTGACTATTATAGACTTAGTTATCGAAGGAATGCAACATTCTTTAATGAGCCATATGGTTTAAAACTTGGCTACCTTACCACTAGTTTAAATGGATAATTCAATCCCCCACAATACTGCGAGACATTAGGGACACCTTTACTCCTAGATACACATGGGAGGATTTGATTGGTTGTATTATTCAAGAACTTTACTCCTAGATATACATATAATGGGCTTATCATAGCTCCGGCTGCTACTAAATGATCAATACATATACTACTATTTGGGGATTAATGATGAGCTATAATGGTGGGAACCAAGTAGGGCGATAAAATCCAAAACTCATATATGTAGGTTTCACTTTACTTTACCCACCAAGTCTCCATCAAGCCCCCACGATTGGCGGTATCAAATAAGCTTGAAAGGGCGTTGCGTTGGCCTTCCCTACCGCCCCTCCTGTTTCTCATGTGACTCATTCAAGCATTTTATCAAACACCTTGTGACCATCTCTCTTTATGCAGCAGCAGCAGCAGCAGCCTTCCCTCATTGGAAATATTCGCTGGATTCTACCCACTTGGGCCAATCAAAACCTCAACCAAACTCATTTTTGTATATACATTTCAAATGGGGTTTTCAGTACCTTATTTTTTTCGCCAATCAGATCCCAATTAGGTTTTAAATAGTGTAGAGAAGATTATTCTGAATTGTACGTACCTTTTAACAAAGACTTTGGGGTTGGCCTCCGCTGGACAATACTAATTTATGATCATTAACTTCTGATCTTTGGCCCACCTCTAAATTTAATGGCTACCTTTTTGGTGGAGTGGCTCTGATCAGCGTTGGGGATACTCCAAATTCTAGTGGGAACCCATTTTCTAATATTTTCATTTGATTGATTTCTCAAGTCCTTCTCAAATGGTAATTTAATAGCAACCATCAAATGACATATTGGTTTACGGGGATCCACAAATATTTATTAAATTAAAATATACGAAGATTTTTTCAGCATTCGATTGTGATGTGCTCTAAAGTTTGGATATTAGCTACAAGAAATCCAAATTAAAAAGCTGTGTGTGGTATTTAACTCTTATGTTTTTTTCTAGGGTGTCATCTATATAAAGGAATAACTAAATAAATTATATGCACACATGTAATAAAATATTATAAAGTATTTTTCAAAAGAAAAGCATATAATATAAAGTATTTAAACTATATAGTAAGAGACAAAATATATTAATTATAGAGCAGCTGTGATAAACTCAATCATTCTATATTTTCTTCAACCCATGTGCTATTTAAATACTCTTTGCTAAACGTACAGAAGAAGCATGGTGTTCCTCATTTTTCTCTCTGGGTAATTAGAAAACATATTATTTAATATAAAATGATGCGACAGAAGTCTTTGGAGTTGATAAAAATATCAATCAACTTGCAAGAAACCGACTAATAAATATTAATTTGACAAAATTGGGTAAGTAGTTGCAGAAATACCCAAATTTAATACACGAACCGAACCCATCATTGCAAAGAAAAGCTACTCCTCAGAAGGGCCAAGTCTCTGTCTCTGTGTATTAAAAAAAAAACTATTTAAATTCATGGCAAACATTATGGTCCTGGAGGATGACTAATCAATGGAATATCTTGTAACCTACGAGTACCCATCCACCAGAGAATTGTCCACTATGTTATTCATAATGCAAATAAAATAAGATTTAAAAAGAAAAGGGGTGAAACGCATGGTTACGTTTAGGCAATGGATATGTAAAAGGGCCATAGTTATGCAAAAATAATGCATCGAATGTCGGGTATCCAAGGCTAAATGACAATTTCTTTCGTGTTTCTTGTACTACCACAACTTCCCAATGACAAAAGGGTATTAATTTAAATTGAAAACAGCCACGGCGGAGGTCACCGGGGGTTAGCTGATCGGAGGGGCCAGACAGCTGGTTGAGTGAGAGCCCATTCTCATAGACACTAATAATAGTAATAATGCATAAACAATGAGACTGATAAAGAAGATCCAATTCAGAAAGCTACAAAATATGGATGGTCAATCACATGCGATGGGCAGAGTCAAAAACAGAGAGAGAGAGAGAGAGAGAGAGAGAGAGAGAGAGAGAGAGAGAGAGAAATGAGTGGAAATTAATCACATTGATTGAAACCAAATACAAACAAGCACTCAAAGGCCCCAAAGACCTTTCGTATACTTTGGGATTTTTTCCCATCTAACTCAGGCTGTGAAAAATAAATAAATTTAAAGTGAGAAGAGAAAAGAGAGAATGAACTCACAAATCGATGACCACCAAGGTCATATAGTTGTGAAAACAACTCCAGTAGGCTCAACGCCATTGAAAAAAAGAGGCACTTCCAGCCGAAGGGGCGGGAACTCGACCACGTACAGTACATACACGCACACACACACGCAAGAGCATGCCACGCACCAAAAAGCGTGGGCATACACAACCGTTTCAAAGCCGTAAATTGGAGCCACCTGTCAAGCTATTTACTGCCCATCCATTGGGGAGCAAAATATAGTTGGTTGGAGATGGGAAACTTTTGCTCTGACTTCAAACTTGGAACTTGAAACCCATATGGCCACCGCCCATTTCATCATTTCTCAAAATAGGTCCCACTCCACTGCTCTATGAACTCCACTTATTCAACGATCTCGCTATTTCCCTCAAAATCAAACAAACCCCTCCCATTTCCCCCCTTGGGAATCTGCAAAGCCATATTAATGAATGGCAATTGCCCACCAACATTATGAAAAATAAATAAATTATTAAAATCTCCCAGCTCACCCCCAACTCTGAGATTCTTTTACACTATATGCTATTATAATTAACACTCACCATTCTAGTTATGTTAACTTAATATCTAAACCCTCCCAAAAAATATCGAGGACTCTACTTTTTTTCTTCTTCTTCTTTTTTTTTTTTTTGGACAAAGTTGGGCCACCTCTTTATTTGGGACTCCTCATTCTTCGGGGTTGTCTTTGTCATCACCTACCCAGAGGCTCTGATTTAATTTTCTCCTTTTGTTTGGTGATGACGAAGATGAGGAAGAAGAGGAGGAGTAGGGCGATAAGTCGCTGGATCTCATTCTAGTGCGGACTGTCACTCTAAACTGAGGTAGGATTTGGGGGGACTTGATCCGGCAACTATCAAGCACAATCTCTTGCATTAACCGGTAGCAGCCGATGATATTTTCCTGCAAATATAAACATTCTTTCGAAATTGGCATCCTTGTGAACGTTTTTTTTTTATCATAAAACACACATGCCCGACGTAATCACAATCTGGTGCTTACTTTCCTTAGACCACTGCACCATGATTCAGCATGCTCTGGATTCACAACAGACAAATTCGGGACTTCATTTGCTGCACAAAGCAAGGCGGCCGCCGCTATACACGATGGCCAGTACTCCAGAAAGATTACCTCTGTGGACCATATAAATAGCTTTGATTTCACTTTCAAGACCCATATTCATCATCTATGTCTAAAAACAGCCCAGTTTAGTCATCTTTTTTTACCTCGGATATTTGATATTATAATTTCTGTGGCTCTTGAAATAAGAAACCCCATGAAATCCCCAGATGGATCGAGCTTGCAAGCAAAGAATGCGATGAAATTGAACGGCGTAACAGAGCGCAGCCGCCAATCCAATACCCTCAGCACCAGTAATTCCATCCTGCATATTGTTCTGGGTTCAAATATATATTTGGCCCCCTCAACCTAAACAAAAACATTATAATACACCAAATAAGAAAAAGAAAACATCACTATTTTCCATTAAGAGACTAAAAAAGTAATGTCCAATCAAATAGACCTGAAGATCCAGTAAAGCAGGAACAAGAGGTTCCTCCATTTTAGCAGCCAGTGAGAGGCAAGCAACAGAGAGTAGTTGCAAAGGCCACCCATTAGTTTGCTGAAAACAATACAAAAGCTAATCATTCCATATCCCATTCTGGCACTAATCATTCCATATCTCAACAAATCAACATCGTCATTAAGAAGAGATAAGCAAGCAAATAGGTTGATCCTATCCGTTCCTTTGCCGGCACTGCGCACTAACTCACATAGTCACATTGCATGTGCCGCAACAGGAGAAACAGAAGTTTGTAAAAGGCATAATGAATATAAAATCGTACTTTCAAGACTTTAGCAACCATATAACAAAGTGAGGTTGCACGATAATATTTACTCTAATTTACTTCTTATCATTTGATTAAACAATTCCCGAAAAGTTGAAAATTAAAAGTATGTCTTTACATAGCGTACAAACTACGATGCCTATAGTTAATTAGTGGTCAAAAATTATCTTGAAAGACGAGAACTAACAGTTCTGTCACGTGAATGACTAAATAGATATTTTATTTTGAAAATAAATTATTGCAGTCTTAATCTGAATACAGCTACGTTTTATGCTCAGTATCGCCATAGTCTAGTCATTTTCATGGTTTGAAAAGTCAAATGTAATTACTGCCATTACAAGAAACAAAATAAATTAATTATCACTAGAATCTCGCGACGAACATCCTGAATCTTCAAAATAATTCACGCAATAATTTTTTTTTTCCCTAAAGAATCTCACCGGCAAACGCCGTGAACAAAGGAATCGATCCAAGTAGTTGACGGAGAGATACGCCGTCAACGGCTGAAAACCGTAATATACTTGAACCTGCAAGAGAAAATCGCAGTACATATATAACCACCGTGTGCGACGGAGATGGAGATAAATATAAAAGTTTACTGTTCTACATAATCATAATATATCAAACGAATTCGCCGACGGCCACGGATCTGTTTTGAGTACTAATGATCGCCGACGTATTCTGTTAGTATAATCGCAACATTCATCACGTGAATAGTGGCATTTTGGTAATAAATGTAAAGTTTCTGAGCGATTGTGAAATGAATCAGAGAAGCAAAGGAGAAATTCACACCTTAAGAATCCATGCAACAGAGTCTAATCTAGCGGCCGCATCCAGCGACGGAGATTGGAAGCGCGACAAACAGTCGTAATCGGGGACGAAGTGACGCTCGTCCTTGATGAAGACGGCGATAGATTCCTCGACGCAGGCCGGTGAGTCGAGGTCGGAAGAACATCCCGGCGATTCGCCAGACAAGACGCCGGAGGAATCCTCCTGGCAGAGCAAATCAGAGAAGCAGTTGGAAATCGATACGGACATGATCGCCACTTCTGGCTCCTCATTCTATTGCCATCTTCCAGACGAGAGAGGTTCAAAAGTCGCTGGAGAAGAGATCGGAGAAGTGGACGGAATCTCTAACGCCGGTTTAAAGTGAAGAAAAAGTAGTTTGGTTGAAGTTGGGCCTTGGAGGCTTGCATCGCTTTGTCTGTATATATATATGATGTAAATTCAATCGTGATATTATTTATTTTATTTCCCTTAATTTAAATATAATATTTGATATTTAAGAAAAAGAAAATAATAATAAAAAAGTGCGGGAAACATTTTACCCAAATCAAGAATGTTTGAGCTATGGAGGACAGTTCCTATCCTACCCCCAATAACGCAATGTTAATTACTTGTTTTATTTTGGAATTAAGGGACTATACCGTAATTAACCTCTTACCAAATTTGATTTTAAATGTTTTTCTTATTCGATTTAAATACTTGAATTTATAAATTTTGGATAATAATTTTATTTTAGGCTGCTTGTTAAAATTTTTATTATAATATTCTCTCAAAAATACAATGGATTATTACATTATATATTAGTTCTATTTACACGTAAACAGTACCATCGTGAAATGACACTAGCTGGTCTATCATTACTAGGTTTGGGTGGAGACAAGGAGAAAATACTGGGCAAGTTGATGGGAGATGGGGGCCTTGGGTGCAGGTGTCCAATGTGCTTTTGGTTGTTGTATTCGTCCTTTTATCATAGGGACATTAATTAGTAGAGCTTCGGTAATTTGAATCAATGTCACTGTTTGGTATCCTTACCTCCGATTTAAATTTAAGGACTATATTGTACACTTGTCAGAAACACGAGTCTTTTGCTGACCTCTTACTATTGAAAAAATATAACGTCTCTTATACTTCATATTGACAATTTTCATCTCGTATATCAATTCTAACCTTTTCTTTTTATTATACTCGTTGGTACCGTAACTTGGGATTAGGTGGATAGAGAAAGGAGGGTTGGGCAGATGGTGCCCCAATGCCATAGCAAATGACAACTTAGATATACATTTATAACATATGAATGGAGGGTGTTCAAAGTGGGATCATCACTTTCTCCTTGTTATAAATAACTCCTTCAAAACCTTGTATTATTTGCCTCTCACCCACTCTTCCCTTCAAGATAAGATTGTTCATTTCATGTGGGCCTTCCCTTCCCTGTCCATTCTCTCTCTCTTTTTTTTTTTCTCTTTTTTTTAAAATCCACACGTGGGTTTCGTTCTCCTCCGTAACTGATATGTGATCTCACAATCCACTCGATTGTTCCTCTCTCTCACCGAAGTGAGATCTCATAATCCACCCCCTTTCAGGGCTCAACATCCTCACTAGCACACCATCTAATGTCTGGTTGTGATACCATTTGTAGTAGTCAAACTCACCGATAGCAGATATTGTTCTCTTTGGATTTTTCCTTTTCGGATTTTTCGTCAAGGCTTTTAAAACGCGTATGCTAGGGAGAGACTTCCACACCCTCATAAATAATATTTCATTCCCCTCATTGGCGTTAAGACACCCTCGATGCATAATTTGTGGCATAAGAGTTGTAGAGTGAGCATCGTGACATTCTTATCGTGTCTCAACGTTGTAGCTCGAAATTTCTATCTTGATTCAGTTCTTCTCTCCCCTTATTTTCATTTTTGACATGATTTTAGAGGTTTAAAATATGTACAATTTAACTAAAGTTTGATGGAAAGATGCAATAGTTGGCCCGTTTTATCTCGATTATGGTCGGTGAGATAGATTGAGATATCCAAATTATAAAAGTTAGAAAAATACAACGTGTTGCTCAAACTTAGGGTATGTATTAATTAATATATTTTTAGTGCAAATCATCATGATTGGCTCTATAAAGTTAGGTGAAACTCCGTTCGTATTGGTATAATAAGGTCTATATATATATATATGCTACCTAGCTATAGAAGGTGACATAGGCTTAATTAATATCCATTCCATAAATTTATTATCATTAAGCCCTTTCAATTGGGTTAGGTTGATGGACGGGATTGAATTAGATTGAATTAATCCTAATTTATTGTTAATTTTAAAAAATTTATAGTTTGATTAAGTTGGAAATAATAAAAATATCTAAACCCATTAACATCCCTATGTGAACAAACTTCACAATTATTGTTGATTTTTCTGTGTAGTCATGAATTATATTATTTAATCATCAACCTTAATATTGAAGGATTAATGAAAAGTATTAAATTAATGTGATTACAAGCATTACTGAATTTATACCATGAACCAAAAAATCATATGATAAAAATGTATTATTTTATCTATTAATATTATTAAAAAAACAATTTTAATTCTTAATATTACCTACTACGTGTAGCTTTAAATATAAACATATACTCATTAATTGAATGAATAAAATACATGATAATGATTTGATGCTATGGACCAAAATGATTATTATACAAAAGAAAAAAGAAAAAAAATTAGTTGAGTGAAATATAAACTTGAGTATTATTAATTAAGAATAGAGAAAAGCAAAAATATTGTAATATTATGAAATTAGAAAGAGGGGAAAAAAGGAAGGGAAGGCGGCTTTTGTCTCTACACTTTGGAGCTTTGCTTTTACCAAAATATATTTTATTTGATTAAGTGGGTATGGCGATGCCGATCGGTTGCGATTAAGAAATTTACCAAAACCAAGCAGCCAAAGCTGACCAACAAATAATTTTATTTTTAGCTTTAAATACTTTTTTAAATGTTTTAATTCCATCCATCTTAAAATTAATAATAAAATTACTAAAAATACCATTATATTTTATCTAAAAAATAAAATCTTAATAGTGTTTCAAAAATAACCTTAAAATTTATGGAACTTACAGAGTATGTGGGTAATATATTAGTTTACTTTCGGGTTGGTACTCGAATTGGACCGAACCAAACCGTTCACCCCTAACTGCAAATAATAGAAATGCAAGTCAAGGAGAGGAGAGATTTGTGGAATTACAATCATTTAATTTGACAAAATGGGGTGTCGATTCAGCTACATTTTCAACAATCCTAGTTTATATATATATATTTGTTTAATTGAATGTCATTCAAGTGATAAGGAAATAAAGATTTATGGGTTTTGTTAATTGTTTTTATGGGACGCTCTCTTTGAAAGCCTCATCTTACCTAATAAGTCCCTCCTTCTTTGTCTTTATTGCGTGTGGGATGCTCCCATTTTATTAATCATCAAATCAACTGTACTGTAACTCAGTTCAGGACATCGATGTTTTTGGGCTTTCATATATTGGGCCCAGATTTAAGCTCAATTCTCCTTGGGCCCAATTTTTCTCCATAAGGATTAATATACATTAATTTATTGATTAGAGCAGTCATCAGCTGGAATAGCTCAGTTGGTTAGAGCGTGTGGCTGTTAACCACAAGGTCGAAGGTTCAACCCCTTCCTCTAGCGATTCTTATATTCTATTTTTCTGATTTAAATATAATGATTATCCTGAACATAAATTATAGTTGTTATAATCTACATTAAGAGAAGAGAGTAGTCATAGATTCCTTTGATGGGGTTCCAGCCATGGAAATCCAAGGAACTCGAAAATGTCCTTTTCTGTATCGAACTTCAAACTTGCACTACCTTTTGCACCCTGTAAGCAGAATCACCCATTAATGGAGTTAGTGAGGGACAGCCCTATATTTTAAGGCCATATGTCTTCTGAATTAAGGCAATTTGTTCATTACCCTTTTACCACCAGATCCTTGAGCCGCTGGATACAGTCCAGTATCATCCATCCTAAATCCTTTTGTTTCCGCTACTAATCTCAGCCTGTATGCATTGTTGGATGATGAAAGTCCCACATCGGCTAATTTAGAAAATGATAATGGATTTATAAACAAAGAATACTCTCTCCATTGGTATGAAGCCTTTCGGGGAAGCCAAAGCAAAGCCATGAGAGCTTATGCTCGAAGTGGACAATATCATACCATTGTGGAGAGTCGTGTTCGTCTAACATGCATAACGACATTGCACTTTTCAGCTCGAAAAACTATTTGAAAACACGCAGAAACAGCATACCTCCTGTTTAGTACATCGTTTCCCGTCCATGCAAGCAATCCAAATGCGTATATGTCTCTTGGATACACCTGCAAGAGTCGAATGCATAGGTTTTTATTATCCGTGAGTGTCTGGGTCAACCCATAATGGTTATCGCTCGAATCTACCATAAACGAACTAGGTTCTATTCTATCACCACTTTTCTAACAACCTATTTCAAAGTTACCATTCTATTCTAAACAAGAAGTGACCAAAGAAAAAGTAGATTAGAAACGAGAGGACTCGTGCCTTCAGATCTATTCGGTGTCGTAGTTCTCTTCCCGGATACGTGCAGAGGCCAAAATATGTGTCGACACCAGAATCTGTTCCCTGTTCATGGTTTCACAATGCAAATATATAAAGGGATTGAGAAAAGCATATCATTGCATCTTGTACCCATAAACTGATAAACAAAGGGAAATGGGTAATTCGACCTCCTCACTGTGCGTGCTGAATATCAGATCCTCCCTTAGAAACTTCATATCCTTTAAATGCTTAACGTATCTTTGTAGAAAACCTCTATGGCTAAAATTACAGACAAAATAACTCTCAAATCAAAAGAAGGTGTTTCATGTAACAGCCCAAGCCCAAGCCCACCGCTAGCAGATATTTGGGCATTCCCTTTTGGGATTCCCCTCAAAGTTTTTAAAACGCGTCTGCTAAGGAGAGGTTTCCATACCCTTAGAAAGAATGTTTCATTCTCCTCTCCAACCGATGTGGGATCTCACATCAAGATATTCAACTCAAACGACATGCAAGAGTAATAATACAGAAGTGATTAAGGCAAGGGGCTTGAAGGGTTGAAACCTTTTCCCATCAGGATGTGTGATTACAATGTCCATATCTCCACACGACGACTTCCCTCGCCGAAATGATCCTCCACAGACAATAAGAACCTGAAAGAACAAGCACCATGAATATCAATTAACAACCAAATTTATTAGATTATGTAAGGAGGTGTTTCAATTCTCACCCCTGGCAAAACATCTTCCCCAGCCTTCTTAAGAAGACTCTCCATGTCCTGAACCTATCAAATCAGATGGACTTCAGAAATCCAAGAACACATTTACCCAAAACATAAGCTAACGTTGCAAAAACCGCAAGAGTAAAGCAGCCGACCTCGTTGCAAGGAATTCTCTGTTTAATATCATCAAAATATTTCAACCCTATTTTCTGCGCATGGGTTAACGACTCCTTCTGCAAGTCATCAAGGGTTCTACATCCTTTGTCGTATAATCGCAGAGCTGTGGCTGGTCCAATACCCCATACTTCCCCAAAAAGTGAGATTGTCTGGACCTACAATGGTTAAAACTACAATATGATAAGTAAACAAGGAGAAAGATAGTGCACGCATCGATCATCACTACATCGAAAGATAAATATGTAAATGCAGATCAATGATATTTATCAACGTAGAACGTCTAAGGTTTTCTTAAGAATCTGCAACCACCTTCTCATCTGTTTCGAAGTGCTCCAACTTCAATAACTTTCCTGTCGTCAATATCTCTTGAATCTGCAAGACAATGCACAATCTTTCTATAATCAATCCATATACAAATTGCAAAGCATTTAGGACTATAATATACACCCAAGGACATGTCCTGTCCTCCCCCATGCCAAGATGGATATCCAATGAAGTCCTGTAGAGGTCGGAAGCGATCTCAGGTCAAGAAATAACCTAGCCAAAACAGGCCAGCCCTAACACACAATTCAATGGGAAATGATACTATGAACAAGCAGATTGATTGCAGGTATCATAACACAACACCTCAAAAGAGAAAGAAGTTAGTTGAAAATTCAAATTCGGAACTACAGTCGTTATGCTACACTCACATGATCCTGCAACGATTTTCCGATTGCTGGCAGGTGTTTGACCTGATCAATGCTCTCAATTTTAAAGGGTAGCTTCTCAATTACTGGAATTGCCTTGTAGTAGCTAAATGACCTTCGTTCATCTCCCAATGCTTAAAATACAAAGAAGACAAGCCATTAGAAACCAAGCGCGGAAATACGAGCACTCAATTAGTCCGAAAAACGTCACTCTCACCTCTGTATATGTTGATAAGTTTTCCAAAAATCTCAGTTATGTTTTTATTCAGATCCGGTGGACTGTATGACATAGATGTCTGCACAAGTTTCATCTTCTTAGAACAAAATGATTCATTCAGATATGAGCAGTCTAAGAAGAACTGGAAATTACTTTAAAGACTTCCATGATCAAGCCAAATATTTACAGAAAAAAAACATTCCTAATTCATGAATTGGTGAGCAAACACATTTCAGAACTGTTAGTAAAAAAACTTACATTGCTATTAAGAGAATCAGAAGTTCTTGGATTAGTCACTGTTTGATCTGTAGCAGTCTTTGTTACAAGGGTTGGAGCATTTGAATCTCCTCCACTTTCAATACTTCCTTCTTCCGAATTGTTGGGAGACAGTTTTAGTTTTTTGGAAATAGACGGCTGCGGCTCATCTCTTCCATTTTCCCCATCTAAACCCACTTTTACAGTATACAAATCCTCTGACGCCCTCTCCCCTGAACGTAAGCTGTCTTCTAGCCACTCGTATGATAGAACCTTCTGAAAATGTGTGATAATTAGCCTAATTCAATAACCATTCACAAGCGATCGCCCCAAAGTTCATCATTGTCAGAACCCACATACAAATATACATGTGTAATTAGCAAGAAACGCAGGACTCACCCCTTCAAAGCGCGCCAAACGCTCACCATCGAGTTTTTGCAGAAGAGCGTCCGAGCTCGCAGCAAATATATGGCTGACCCTTTTCGACAAACGATCCTCAATACGAGCACCCATTTGGAGCAACTTCTGTTTCCAAATCTTCAACCACGAAACCAAAACCCAAATAACGACTTTAAATTCATTTGAAACACGAAGTTGCAGAGAAAGATCATAAAAATGTAAAACCTGCAACCGGCGAGCCTGCACCCCCTTTTCGATTAAAAGGACGACCATTCCTGCGAACATTCCATGTGGATCCTGAAGGAGACTTTGGCTCTTGCTTCGCTTTGGCGCCATTAAAGCTTCCTCTGCACGAGACTGTAGTCTTCTTGTGTATTATGTACTATGATTGACCCTTTGATAAGACACGTGTCCAAGATTGCGATGGTGATTGGCGTATCAATTGACAAGTGTCCAAAATGAGGCCCATGTGGACCGCTAATCAGATTCAGTAAGGCCCTTTTGCTTGATATCACTGCTGCAGAAGGATTTTACCTTAAACCCTAAAACCCAGAAATTAATTTCGATGCTTTACGATTTCACAGAATAAAGAGGTTTTGAAAAAAAAATAAAAAACGACTCCACTGGGGATCGAACCCAGAATCTCTGGTTTCGTAGACCAGCGCCTTATCCATTGGGCCATGGAGTCGCTGTTGACATCGGGTTCCATCTAAAAGTACTACTATTTATTTTTTCTTTTTAACAGCTGTAAACAACTTGAGCAATAGGATTCATCGTCACTAAGCTTCTCGTCTGTAACGAACAAAAAATAAAAAGGCAGTGCAGAAAGTTACAACTTCTAAGAACTCTAATCACCAAATTTTCAGTATATATACACAGAAATAAGCAAGAACAAACTTACAAAATCTATCCCACACTTGTACATATGGCTAATAACCTCATATTCACAGCCTTAGCAGCCTCTTTTGCTCTTCTGTTCACATTAGTTGCAGCAGATAATTCTATGCCGGGCATGGACATGCCCCCGAACCCATCACCACCGACATCGCCCGGCTCCTATGCCAGCTTCACCAGTCCGTCGTCTGTGCTTGGACTCCTGCTTATCCTTCTTACCATGTTCATTGTCAAGGACAGGATCTGACATGTTATATATTCCATAGTTCTCTTTCTTTTCTGTTGTCTTCTTGGTGTTGTTTTATCTCTATGGATGTTGTTATCCCTCTCCTCTTCACCTGATTCTAATCAGGCTTTGTTTATTGGGTTTCCCTTTCACATGTTATAATAATATTCAACAGTCCAGCTGACTTGTTTGGAACAACAACATCGACTAAAAACAAATGAACCCAAGACTCTCTTCTTAATTAAAAACAATCTCGAAACATCGATGAACTCGAAAGAGATTCTTCAATAGAATTAGAACAAAGGGACTGAAGACTATTCAGTGGTCACAGTAAGACTGAGGTTGATGATGAATTCAAGAGATAAGAATATGCAAATGCTGCATGAATTGCTGCGCCAATAGGAAGCACATTTTCATCAATCTTAAAGTGAGGGCTGTGTGGAGGATATATAGCTCCAATTCTCTCATTATATGTGCCTAGAAATACGAACGATCCCGGCACTCTGTCTGAAAAGAAAGCAAAATCTTCACTTCCCATGAAGTTTGGAGATACCTTTGTGTTCTCTTTTCCTACTATCTCAATCGAGACACGTCGAGCGTGATCGTACATTTTCTCGTTGTTTATAGTCGGAGGAATCGTCGGATGTTCCTTTCCTAGGAAATCAATCTCCACCGTGCATCGATGCACCGCTGCCTGCCCGTTTATGATCTGCCACAAGAAATGAATAGTCAAAAGGTGTAGTGAAAATTCATCTGTTCTGTATAAGAACCTGTACAGGGGGTTACCTCTTCTATCCTATCTCTGAGAGCATTGAAGCTCTTCTTGCCAAATGCTCTGAAAGTTCCAGCAATGGTGACCGAGTCCGGGATGACATTGAGTGCAGTTCCTGCTTGAACCATGGCCACAGAAACCACCTGCAATTTTCAACACTCTCCTTTAAGATGATATGAAAGAAATGATCTTGTTTGTATAATCAGATCAGCCAAGAGTTCATCTGAAAGAAAGTACCTGGGAATCTAAAGGGTCTATCTCTCTTGAGACTATGTTTTGCAGACTAACAATAGCTGTTGAAGCTGCCAAAACAGGATCAATTGAATGGTGTGGAATTGCTGCATGACCCCCTCTCCCCTTTATCTTAGCTTTGAAGCTTCCACACCCGGCAAGAAACTCTCCGGGACGTGAAGCGACAACGCCGACCGGATATCTATGCATAACATGCAGCCCCAATATAGTTTCTACACCATCAAGGACGCCTTCTTTTATCATGTCTTTAGCTCCTCCTCCCCTCTCCTCCGCTGGCTGAAATATAAGAACAACAGTGCCCTGCATTGAAGAGGACATATACATAAACAGTTTGTCATGGTCATCTTCTTTCTAAACAGATTAATCAGAATGTTATTGGAACTGGGAAGAACTTGCAATGTACTTAGAGAACCTGCAGTTTCTCTCGCAGTTGATGCAGAATTTTAGTAGCGCCAAGAAGCATAGCAACATGAGCATCATGACTACAAGCATGCATTTTCCCCTTCACTTTGCTCTTATGCTCCCATTCCACCAATTCCTATATCAAATCCATTAAGAAAAACAAAACTGTTTCATTTTAGATACCCATTAAGCCGAATCTAAAAATGAACATAAAGAAGAACCGATTAAGTTCGTTTGGGCATTTCATCGAACAGAAGATAGTCAGCCATTAATAGCGGGGAAATAAGAAATATGAAATGAACTAAATCCGACCTCGATTGGCAAAGCATCCATATCTGCTCTTAGAGCAACAAATGGAGGAGACCCAGAACCGACTGAAGCCACTATGCCGGTACCGGCGACCGGCCATCGATAAGAAACGCCGAGATTGTCAAGCTCCTGTCGAATAAGGCGACTGGTTTCAAATTCTTCATAAGCAAGCTCTGGGTTCTCGTGGATTTTTCTCCTTATCGTCTTCATCCAATTTGAAGTAGTGGGATCATTGGCAAGCTCCAGAATTTGGTGTCGGAGTGAAGAATTTTGACTGGTTTGAACGGAGCTCGCAGTTGTTCCATGGACAGGAGCTTCAAGCTTGAAAATGGAGATGATTATGAGGAAGTACAAAAGCTCCATATCGTTGAGGAATTAATAATGAAGCGAAACCAACATCTATTTGTACCAAACTCATGAACAGTACTCGTGTTCCTTTGACTCGACGAACTCGATTCAAATAAAATCAAAAACTAAATAAAATTAAATGTAGCCAATCAAAACCTTCCAACCATATTTAACTGAAAACAAAACTACAAATTTAAGTAACTCCTCAACTTCCTAATAAATTTTAAACTTCCAAATTTCAATGCAAAATTCAAATGATCCGTTCATTTTTTTTATTAAAAAATATTAAAATTTGTAATTTAACCAAAAGAAAATCAACCAATACATAAACATAAATTAAATTTAGTTTTTTAATGGAAAATTTTGGATGAGACCGAACAGAATTTGATACGGCCACCACAGGTGTGAGGACCAAAAATGAATGCTTTTGATAATTTTGTCACGAGTTGCGTGGTGTGGTTTGGTTTGGTTTGGTTTGGTTTGGATTTGGTCAGTGTCGGCACGTGAAACTCATGAATTTTAAGGTGGATTTAGCTGAAGTGGCCCACATGTTGCAGGGCCGTCCATGGCCGAAAAGCCCAATAGGCCCAAGCCCAAAACCAACTTATACTGCCACTCCTCTTTTGCTACGGGCGCCCCCATACTTTTTTCCTGTCTTTTTTTTTTGGAATTTATCCCCATATATATGAAAAAAAATAATATATTTGATTATTCTTTCTAGAACATTGAAAAAGAACTAATTAATGTATAATCTTGCATTAATAAATTTATCATGGTTTATAATATATTATATCATATCCTTAATTATTGATTTTTATTTTATTTTTATGTCAATAGTATAAAGAAATAAATTATATAAAAAAAAAGTCCAAGTTGATGAACAGTCAAATGCCCTTGAATAATTTAAATGATATTAATTGATTTGGATTGACTGATTTTTAGGATTAATTAATTAATTAATGATGCATTATGGGAACCAAGGATGAGACTTCTAATTAATGATTACTCTTCTCCATTAAACCTAACATCAACACGTCATCATATGCTTTAAAATACAATTCAACCCAACTATATATTATACCACTTATACGCATTTTATGTTACTAAAATAAATACCTATCTTAATTAGGTTAAATAAATAAATAAACTAAAAAATATTCTTAAATTTTTTAAAATTTTAATAATATCTTGCCATCAGCTAGTATTTTATTTCAAAATATTATTAAAGTTTTAAATTTTTTATTAATACCTTTGATTTTTTAAAAAAAAATCAAACATACTAAACATTTATAAAAATAAAAAGTTCTTACTGTCAATATATAGACGGAAACCATCTATCTATACCTCCATTTTTCAATTCTAAGATACTAACGACAAAAATGTTTTAAAATATTTTTGTGAAATCCTACCTCAGTTGAAGAGAGCAACGAAACATTTCTTATAAGGACATGAAAACCTCTTTATGGTAGACACGTTTTAAAACCTTAAGGAAACCTTAAAAAAGAAAGTCCAAAGATAACCATATTTATTTGCGGTGAGTTTAAGCTATTACAAATGATATCAAATCTAGACACAGTATGACGTGCGAGCAAGGACGCTAACCCCCAAAGGGGTAGATTGTGAGATGGAACGAAACATTCCCTTCCTTAATAGACATGTTTCACAAACTTGACAGAAACCCAGAAGAGAAATGACAAAGAAAATAATATAGGTTAGGTATGGGTATCCATATTCATTTTTAAATCGTAAGCCGCAAAGCTCAAAAAATATAATATTTGCTATAGGTAAATATTGATCGGTCCCATATTAACTATTTTTTATTAATGTTATATTAACTATTTTTTATTAACGATATTTTTGAAGTTTTTTCTTTAAAAAAAATTGGCATTAATGAAGTTTAAAAATGAAGAATCTATTTCTAATTGGATTATATTCATACATAATACACCGTCTATATTATTTAAATCAACCAAATCATAATATAATGAACACTAGATCATAATTTATTGTGATAGTGACGTAATAATTCAACCAAAAAAAATGCATGGATTGGCTTAACATGGTGCTTGGATTGCTACAAAATTAGAAGCTAAATTAAGAACACATAATCAATTGAAACCAAGTTGAAGATCCAAAGACTTACAAGAACGCCTATGATCATTACAAACAGGCAAAGAAGAAGAAGAAGAAGAAGAAGAAGACACATAACCGACAGCCTTGTCGGCCGGCGGCACAGAACCATCGAAATGGATAAACTTAGCGCCGTTTTGACTGAAACTAATCTGCGAAGAATTATGAGTGTAGAGAAGATAAGTGAGGGAAGCATTTGTAGCTTGAAGCTCCATCTT